TCTATCATTTAGATATTGGCTCTTTTGGAGAAGTTCCAGAATCTTATACTCTCCTAATTTTTTTGAATTCTTGTTTCTTCATTCTGTTCTCGTTGAATGTTTATTCCTTCCTTATGTTCCAAATCATTGATTTGAATCCTGCCTTCCTTCCCTTCACTGTTCGTTCCCTGCTAATTTTTATTTATTTTACTTAGTGTAGCTTTCATTTCTCTCCTTATGCTTTTGCCATACTCAATGAGTTCTCTGAGCATCCTTATCACTGGTCTACTGAACTCAGCATGTGATAGGTTGGGTATCTTTGTTTCATTTAGTTCTCTTTCTGGGGTTTTGTTCTGTTCTTTCATTTAAGCCATATTTCTTTGTCTTCTCAGTTTGACTGCCTCCCCGTGTTTGTTTCTGTGCATTGGGTAGAGCTGCTTTGGCCCTCTGTCCTAGCGTACCTGTTAAGTTGTATGGGGTGGAGCCTTAGGTATTTATTTGCCAGAGCAGGGCAACCTGCTTCACTGCTCTGTGGCTCTGTGTCGGGGGAGGGGTCAGAGAGGCTACAGTGCCACTGCCTGGCTGCTGGAGGCTTGCTCAGCACTTGCCCCATTGCCAGTAATTTCTCCCACTTCCTGCATGTGACCAGCGCCCTTCTAGCTGTTGCCCTGGTGGTGGTTCCCAGAGTGGGCGGGTTTGCATACATTCTAGGACTATGCGGGGCATTTAAATGGACTGTCCTGAGAGATCTACAATTTGTTCTGCTGCCCCAAACCCCGATGGTTTTTATGTCACAAGGCTTTATTTTCCTGGTGCTGGAACCCTGGGCTGTGCAGTCCGGTCTAGGGCTGGGATTGCTTGCTACCAAGGTGTCCCTCCTGATTTTTATCCACCACACTTGAATGGGGGACCACCCATTCTGCCGGCCACCACTGCCACTGCCTTGCGCTCACCACCTTGCCATGGCCACACTGTATTCTCTCTGCCCTGGCTCCCTGTCTCCGCCCCTCCAACCCGTCTGGATGCATATGGCTTCTTTAACTCCTTGGTTGTTGGACTTCCATATAGTTCAATTTTTCTGGCAGTTCTGGGTGTTGTTTTGAGGTTAGTTGTGATCCTTCTTGTGGTTACGCAAGGAGGCAGAGCATATCGACCTATGCCTCCATCTTGACAGGAAGTCCCCTATACTTGGAGCACTTTTAAAAATTAACATTTTAATATTGTAGAAGTCACAAAAAAAGACGCATGACAAAACTGGCTGTTGGTGAGACACTGGAGACTCAGTACTTCTTTCTGTCAGGACGGGGTGGGAAGTGGACTCACTGGAACCCCCTGGAGATGGGAGATTTTTATATGCATTGAAAAGGATGTAACATACATTGTTTACATAGTTGAGAAATGTGGGATTTTTGGATAAAGCCTTGGTACAGCTCAATTCCTTCCATTGCTCCAGATTCTCAAAGGGATTTCAAATAGCCTAGCCTACAATTTTCCAACCCAGAAAAGTCAGCCACAATGTACCAAAGTGGCTAAGCTGTCGTCAAATTCTCTCTGGAAGGTTTTGTGTGTTTGCTTTTGCTTTTATTTTTTAAGGTACAAAACTTGAAATAGTATATGTGATACATTAAATTCCTAGATATGTTCTGGTAAGTAATAAATGGAGAGTTATAAGGGTCCCTAAGTATCTGGATGGAATGTGGCTCACATCAGTGAGGATGTGTCCACATACACAGTATTGTAAGGACAAATTTCTGACGACCAGCTGACGAGTCAAAGATTGCTTTAGAAAACATCAACCACAACAGAGCTAAGTAAAGCCTTTCCCCGAGGGGCCTTGGAAAGAATTAACATTTGAATTGGATACTGAAACTCTAAATTTGAATTTATCACCCATTCTTCAAGAAATATTGTAGTTATTATAAGAGAGCACCATACAAAGGAAATTCAGTGAAAGAAGTGGGTTTGGTGTTTGAAAAGTATTACCAGAATTATGTTATTCTATTGAGTTGATTCTTGCTTTCAAGTAAGCCTGTCCTCATATTACCAAACCAAGAATCTGACCTCAAATCGATTTCATAAACAGTCCTTTTTACTAAATATCATGATTCTTTGAAATGTAAAAAAAAAAAAAAAGTCACAAGGGGGACACAAGTAGGAAAAAGAGCCAGCCATAACATACCCTAATAACTAGAAAAATTCTTCACCTTGGTTTCTTAAATCGGTGTTTCCATTACCAACAAGAAAGACATAGAAAGGCATCAAATGACCATTTTCTAGAACCTGATTCAAATCCACTCTAAATACCAGGCATTTATGTCTTGATAGACTCATTGATTAATTTAGATTGCTGCTTATGATTCTGTGCCATCATTTCTAAGGATGAAGTTAGTTACAGGAAATAATTACAGGAAGTTCATTATTTATTAAGACCTAATGAAGAATAACTCATTTAAATATGCTGAGATTTAAGTGCATTCTGTAATGATCTTCCTTATCAGAAACCAAGCCATGCACATTACATATGATGCAATTTTACGTATTGTATAAATTTTAACTATAGGCTGAATGAATGACTTTTAGCACTGACTCTGTCCCTTCCTTGTTGTGGCTTATTTACTGGACTGTTTCTTCACATAAAATGGGGATAACAATAGTAGTTACCACAAAGAACTGGTGAGAGAATTATATAAGATAATATGAGTATGAAAACCACATGCTTGGCACATAATAAGGGCTCGTTGGCTGTCATAATTTTCATGGTTAACAAATTCAAATGATTTACAGTCACAGTATGATTGAAGCTTCGCCATATGTCCTTTAATCTGTATTTTGGTCTTGCTCTTCTTTCTAGTCGTGTTTTACTGGCTGTACAATGCAGCTATCACATTTGTACGACATATAAATCCATGTTACCGATTTTGTTTAGAGGTAGTTCCAACTATTAAAATTACTCGACCTCTTTATAACACAAGAGGAGGAATAATGTCTGTTGAACAAATACATTGTTTTCTTTCTTTTGCTGCTGATGTTTTATCTATGGAATGGTGTGAAAGAATTTTAACCTAAACTGGAACTGGAGGATATAAAGTAGAAAATCGCAAGGACACCAAACATAAGGACTGAGAGACTGATTTCCTGTAAATTCGTGATTTACAGTAAACTGATAATACTGGACTCTCCTTAAACAAAAGGGAGTTGGTCAGTGGTTACCTCATATTAATCTTGAGAAATTTTGCTTACGGTTTCTTGAGACATAAACAAGAAATGACCCAGATTGGATGACCTTGCAAAAGAAGCTGAATTTAGTTTTGTTTGTATTACTGGACTCTATTTGTCTGCTCGGGAAATTTTCAAAGCTGGTTTTTGTTTTTTATTTTAATACATTCTATCTAACTGAACTCTCCCCTCTTTACATCCTTGCCCATAAATACAGCCCATTCCAAATCCTTGATAGACTGGCCTATAGCTTGCTATAGTTTGCATTTCCAGCATTGCAATTCCTCTGCTACTCATGAAAAAAAAATCCTATTTTTGATCATTTTGAGCTTGCCTCAGTTTACTTCTTTATTTAGGGTGACAAAGGACAGTATTCATTTTGGAAGAGGTGATGGGAATAATGTCATGTGGAAAGTACATAATAGAGGCAGCAGATTTTCAACAAGAAAGTCCTAAACTGCCAGCTCCTAGTGTTCTTGCATGGCCAGTTGACTCTTAATTTCCTAAAATTAGTCTAAGAATATTCTGTAAGGTCAATTTGAATAAATGGACTCACATGCCACCGTGATTTAATGTCTGCTTTGCTAATGAATCAGCCATGTTTGGCCCGCCTTGCTGTCTTCACATTTTTCTTTGTGTTTATCCTTCAGCTTAGCAACCAAGCAAACACCGAGTGGAATATCAATATTTAAGAGTAAAGCGTACTATTCATTGACTAATTGTTCTACAGAGAGTGCTGAGTTCGTATGGTTTACATTTTTGTACTTTCTGTTTTACTTATGATATTCTGAATGCATGACATTTTGGCTTTCACGATGAACAAGTTTTCAAATAAGAGATTGTTAAGTGTTTGTGAATACACAAATGTAAGGACAGAACAGTTTTATTAAAGAATCAAAAAGGAACAAATAAGTAAATGGGACACTTGGTTATCTTACAACAGTGCCAAAAATAAAGCTCCGCCTCCCCTGTGAATAGTTTTCTTTCAACAGAATAGCTATAACCCTGTGTTTCTTGACATAAAATTGTTTTTAAGTTGAAGAAATAGTGCTGTTACTGGAAGACAATCTTCAACAAAGGTTCTATTTTTATGCCACTTAAAAGTTATGAATGCCATGCATTTATAATCACAGAATGAGTTTTTGTGCTTGGGAAGGTAAAACAATCCATTTTACACATACTAAAATAGTACATTTTTTTTTAAAAGGAAAGTGATCATGTTTTATTTCAGGCATAAAAAAAATATTGTGTTTTTGCAACAGCTCTGGGTCCTCAGTGATGCCTCTTCCACCAATGAGAGAAGCTTTGGGATTGGCAGGGTCTTTTAAGATAATTATTCCATGCCCTCATTTTACAGATGAAGAGCCTGAGGCCCAGAGAGAGAGAGTGGATGACCTGTTTAAGGCCCCGGGCTCTCCAGATACCAGGTCTGGGATCCTTCTCCAACTTCACTGTCACAGAGGCTGCTTTCTACATGCCATTCCCTTTTTGTTTAGGAACCTCATACAGTAATCTGTCATTTGGAGAGATGACTGCAAAACCGCAGGGCTCATGAGGTTTTCCTCCCTTTCCGAACCCCATTTTATTTTCTTTTTCTTTCTTCAAGTCCCCAGCCCGCCTGGAGCCGGGGTAGGAAGAGGCTGCTGGACAGGGGCCAGCCCGATTCTATGGGTCAGGCGGGTGGTGGCTCCCACTGACCCTTTTCCGCGGCCTCAGGTCCTGACCTGGGCGAGGCCCGGGCTCCGGGGCCGCGTGATGCAGCCCAAAAAAGGGGCAGCCCCGCACGTGTCCCCGCCGGCGCCCGGGCCTCTCTCGTCCGGGCCCCGAGCGCCGCCGCCCAATCGCCGCGGCCGCCTGGCGCTCCAGCCGCGTCCGCCACCCGGAGACACCGGGAGCCGCGCCGCCCGTCGCCATGCGGTTCCGGTTCGGGGTAGTGGTGCCGCCCGCAGTGGCCGGGGCCGGGCCCGAGCTTCTGGTCGTGGGGTCGCGGCCGGAGCTGGGGCGCTGGGAGCCGCCCGGGGCGGTGCGCCTGAGGCCGGCGGGCACGGCGGCGGGCGCGGGGGCGCTGGCGCTGCAGGAGCCGGGCCTGTGGCTGGGGGAGGTGGAGCTGGCGCCGGAGGAGGCGGCGCAGGACGGGGCGGAGCCGGGCCGCGTGGACACGTTCTGGTACAAGTTCCTGAAGCGGGAGCCGGGAGGAGAGCTCTCGTGGGAAGGTACGGGCAGCAGGGGCCCGCCCCGGGAGCGGAGCGGGGACCCCGGCCCGGGCCGCGGGCGGGCGCGGAGTCCCCTGCCGCACCCCTTCTGGGCGTTGACCGCCGCTCCGCGCTGGCCAAACTCGCGTCACTAGCCGCGACTCCGGCTCCCGACCGAGTCCCTAGACTGTCGCCGTGCCCTTCCCCGCCCTCCGCTCCTTCGGTCTGGGAGCCTCCGACCTCTTTCCCCCACACCAGTACCCAGTTGATTTCCAGTTCATGACCCAGGTCGTGCCAATGTCGCGGGCCGGTTCTCTCCGCCCCGGACTCCCACGGTCTGCTTCACCCCTAGTGTCCTTCCCTGCGCCGGGTCCCTGGACCGCCCGGCCAGCCCCGCCGCTCGTGGCTTCACCCTTCAGCTCTGCCTTAATTGTTTTCGTGCCCTCATTTTCTTGCCTTATTTCACTAAAAAATGTCCCCGCCAGTGAAGCCTGCCTTTTCGCTAATCCTAGACTGCAACGTGCCAGTTGCGTTGTGATTTCCTCCCCATTAGATCTGAGAGTGAACTGATATAAAGACGTTGAATTTTTCTTTGGATTTATAAAAATCCCAAATATATGACAGTTAAGCCATGCTCTGATTGTTTTAAATGTAAAAACAATAATGCTTCATATAAGAATAAAATCAAATGCACAAGGCGAAAAACTGTTTCCTCCAAACATCTTAGGCTCACTCATTGCCCAATACATGTGTGTGTGGATATACACCACCTGTTCGTGTCACTCGATGTAGATGTATCTCATTTTTTAAACGGCATCAAAATATTCTGCGTGTACCAATGTGCATTTGACTTAGGTTGGCATTTTGTTTTCCTCTGTTATAAACAGTAACAGCTTCGTTGAAAATCTGTATATAGAGTTACCTTTGAGCATTTGGAGGGGTAGATTCTGGGAAATGAAATCGTTAGGTCAAAGTGTAGCCCTAGTTTACATTTCCAGCAGGACTGCCAAAGTCTACCCTGAAAAGGTTACACCAGTGTAGACTCCTGCCAGTGGTAAGACTTTAGACAGCCCTTTCTTTAAATGAAATGTGTCTGGCGAAGGACTGGAGTGTGTGACACTCAGTAGTTGTCGAAAGCCAGGGAAATGAAGGTCTCTGTAGAAGTTTATATGACAAAGGCAGGCCATTTAGTCCAGAGTGATGAGGAAACAAAGAATCAGTACAGGAGATGAGTATTCTGTGATGTGCTAAGTATTATCCCTGTACCTCTTTTTGTATCCCACTGGGTTACATGGTCTGGTGGCACTTAAATGTCCTATTGTGTCTCCATGCCAGAACTGAAAGTCACCCTCTTCGGGTTTTTGCCCTTCTTTACAGTGTAGTACTATTACTAATACTTACTTTTTCTAATAAAATAACCTGATACTATTAATAAAAATTAAAGTGGTTAAAAACAAAGGCCTTCCCAGTCTTCCTCATTTTCTATTTTAGCTTTTCTGGTATTCCTTCCAAACTTTGAATAATTTGCTTGTATTGCTATGTTTTGATGTAGCAACTTTAACTTTTCTGAATTTAGCTTTTTCTGAGTGACCATATAAATAATGTATTTTATTAAAATTAGACAATACCTATTTAAACAGAAGAAACACACTATTCCTCAAAATTTCCCAGCTTGATTGAACTATTTGATGAATACAAATTGTTTACTTTTTGAAAACATTTTTTTCTTAAAGAATGGGGAATTCCTCTTCTAATTTTCACTAATCTATAGCTTTCTGAGCACAGCTATCTGGGACTTTTTTTTTAATTGAACTTTTCTATGTTAGTTGCATTGTTTTGGATTCCACATCTTCCTCTTTCTTGAATATCTGAATCATTTTGTTGGATTGTATCCTCATATAATTTTCAAGAAACAGTAAATGAAAGATAAAATATCTGAGTTCTTAAATGCCTGAGAATGTCTTTGTTTTGCCTTCATCCTTGATTCATCATTTGGTAGAATGGTCTCATCTCAAAATAATTTCCCCTGGATGGCTTTGCTTTTGTAACTTTCTAGCACCCATGGTAGTTGATAATTCTGATGTCAAAATAAGCCCATTTCTTTGTAGGCAATGTTTTTTTTCTTCTTCTTTTGAAACTGAAACTTTCCCTTACCTTATTTCATGAGGATGCATCTGAGGGTTTTGTGCGTCTGTGTGTGGTTTGTTAGCTCATTTATTTTTATTGCTGAGTAATATTCTATTTATGGATGCACCACAGTTTGTTTACTCATTTACCTATTGAAGAACATCTTGGTTGCTTCCAGGTTTTGATGATTATGAATGAAGCTGCTATGAACATTGATGTGCAAGTTTTTGTGTAGACACATCTTTCAGGGTGCCATAGCATTCTTTAATCCATTTCTACCAGCTATGAATGAGAGTTCCTGTTGCTCCATAGTCTTGTCAATAATTGGTATTGCTTAATTTTTGGATATTAACTATTTTAATAGGATGTAATGTGCTATCTCATTGTTTTAATTTGCAATTCCCTAATGGTCGATAATGTTGAGCATCTTTTCATATGCTTATTTGCCTGTCCTGTATCCTCTTTAACACACTGATATTATATCTGAGTGCCTACTCAGATCTTTTCTCTATTTTTAAATGGGGTGGTTTGTTTTCTTATTGCTGCCTTTTAAGGGTTCTTTGTATATTTTGGATACAAATTCTTGACAGATATGTGATTTGCAAATATGTTCTCCCAGTCTGTGACATGTCTTTTTATTCTCTTAGCAGTGTCTTTCCAGATAGAAACCTTTTAATAAAGTTCAGCTTATTAATTTTCCTTTCATAGATTGTGCTTTTGGATTTGAATAAAAAAATTATCCCCAAATTCAAGGCCACTTAAATTTTCTCCTATGCTATGTTCTAGAAATTTTTCTTTCTTATTGAATTTATTGGGACAACATTGGTTAATAAAATTAAATAGGTTTCAGATGTAAAGGTCTATAATACATCATCGGTATATTGTATTATGTTCACCACTCTAGAAGTGTTATAGTCTTATATTTTATATTGAGGCCTATGATCAATTTTGTGTTAATTTTTTATATTTGGTGTAAGGTCTGTGTCTAGTTTATATTTATGCTTTTTTTATACAGATATCCGATTGTTCCAATACCATTGATCAAAACTACTATTCTTTCTCTGTATCAAAAATGAGTCAATTGTGCTTGCAGTGCATGGGTCTATTTCTGGGCTCTCTATTTAGTGCCACTGATTTATGTTTCTATTTTTTTCACCAATATCACACTGTGTTGATTACTATAGTTTTGTACTAATTTTGAAATAGTGGGATGTGATTAGTTCTCCAGTTTTGGTCTTCAGTATTATGTTGGCTCTTCTTGGTTCTTTGCCTTTTCATACACATTTTAGAATCAGCATGTTGATATCTACAAAATAGTTTGCTATGATTTTGATTGGAATTACATTGACTATAGATTAAATTCAGAAGAATTTACAACTTATAAATATTGACTCTTTTAACCCATGAACATGGAATATATTTCTATTTAATTAGGTCTTTTATTTTTATTTTTTCGTTAGGGTTTTGTAGTTTTTTACATGCAGATTCAGTACATGTTTTGTTAAATTTGTGCATAAGGGTTTTTAAATCCTATTTTAAGTGGTATATATTTTTAATTTCAGTTTTAAATTTCAGTTGTTCATTGATCATACCTAGGAAAGAAATTGACTTTTGTGTCTACTGATTTTTGTTTGGATGCTGGACACTTTAGTTTTCCATTGTATCAGAGAGTTTGGATCCCCCCCCCCCCCAAGCAGTTACTTGTGGATTTGAGGTTTATCTTGAAGGTTTAGAAGGGCAGGCCTATAGTATCTTTTACTCTAGGCCTACTGTAGCCCCGAAAGAGACCTACTAAGCCATGCTCTTTCTAGGTTCACTACTGAATACGCCATGTATTATATAAGATCTCCTCACTGTGGTGGAAACTCATATGTGTCCCAGTGCTGTGTGAGCACTGTTTTTTTTCTTGGCATTTTTCTTTGCATAGCACCGTGAGATTCCATCACCTGCACTCACAGATTGGGTGCAGCCAGAGTCCAGGAGACCTTCATGCAGATTTACGGACCTCTTTCTCCGCACGCTTTGTCCTCTCTGGAATGTGGCTCTCCAAATTCTAGTCACTTTGTTCTTCCCAAATTTGGATTTCTGTTTCCTTAATTACGAGACCACTGGGCTCTGTTTGGGATCACTTTCCTGTGCCACGGTTCAGAAATTCCCTACAGGCAGAAAACCAAAGCATTCACATTGTTCATTTTGTTTATTTTTCTTTTCTCAGGGATTACAGGGTTATACAAGTTTTAGCTCAATGTATATAAACAATTGTTTTATATATTCCCCCACTTTTCTAGTTTTTACTTTCATAGACAGTAGAAGCAGTCTCTGATTTTTAAAAGTTTATAGCTAGATATTTTTCTAGCATATTCTTAAAAATTTTGCAAAATAACAATGCCTGATTTTGCTATGTAATTTATTTCTCATATTTTTATGTACACATGCATATGCATACATGTTTATATAGGTATGTAACAGAGACACACATAAAGTCTAATGTATGTCTTGTTAAAATGAAATTATTTTGTTGATAATCTTTCATTCTGAAGATTCTTAACTCTTTAATTGTTATCTGCCATTAAATTTCTGTGCCCACCCAACAGGATCAGGCTTTATGGGTTTTGATTTTAATGGCCATAACTTCAGTGTTCAAATTATCACTATTTTTTGTTCCACTCTTTTATTCCTTCTGCACAAACTGGAATTTGTTTTAATTTCATATCACCTCTTGTGCATCAATAATTACATTAGAGTAAAATTGACACGTGGCAATGTTGCATTCCTAAATAATCTATTCTTAACATTTAAGAAGATTAAACAAATCAACATATAACTTTCTATCTTGAAGATAATGTATAGTTTGCTAGGGCTATCATAACAGAATACTAAGAATGGGTAGCTTA